GGTGACACTGAACCCAAATCAGGCTCAGACCTACCCCAGTGGTGGTGTTGGTCCCCGTCAGGTGACACTGAACCCAGATCAGGCTCAAACCTACTCCAGTGGTGGTGTTGGTCCCCGTCAGGTGACACTGAACCCAGATCAGGCTCAAACCTACCCTAGTGGTGGTGTTGGTCCCCGTCAGGTGACACTGAACCCAGATCAAGCTCAGACCTACTCCAGTGGTGTTGGCCCGCGCATGGAAGTGGCACCACAGTTTGAAAATAGAGGTATTTATTTTCTGTAAACTTTGTTGACCATCTGAAAGCAACATGTTCACATACATGTGTCCATGTACAGCACACGCACATATATATTAACTTGTTCCAGCTGCAGTAAATTGCGGATCTTACTACATAGCCCCGGGTTCTTCCAAGACATTCCAGTCAAAGAACTACCCCAGTAACTACCCTGGTGGCAAGAAGGTGCACATGGAAATTCCGCGTAAGTTCTTGAAGTGAGAACTTAACATTTAACCTTGATTTTAATAATTCTATGTGATACACAAATATTTCTTCACTAACAATGTGCATATTTATAGATATAAGAAATACAGCTTGATTTATGAATCTGCTTGACTTCATCTAAAACATTATTTTCCCAGACTTCTGTCGATTCAAAGTTGAGCATCCAGTGTGACGATTTCAATCTGCAACAGTCGAGACAATGCAAAAAGGATTTCTTCCGGGTCACGGATTCCTCTGGTTTTAAACAAAAGTAAATACCATCACGTAACTATAGCATTATGTTTCTATTAACTGCACATTCTAGAGGGAAGAGGTATTTTGCAGATTGACCACTATTTCACTGTGCATATTGCAGATACTGCGGTGCCAAGGGTTCTCTGAGCGTTTCTGATAAATCTAGGAGAGTTACTGTTTTGTTCAAAACAAACAGGAAGAAATCTAATACAGGATTTTCCTGTTCTGTCAGAGCTTCAGGTAAAGTTAATATTTCCAGTAACTGAGGAACATAGAAGTCTTGAAATATGGATTCATGTGCACATCTCCCAATTCCGCATAATGACTTCCTTATGCAATATCCTGTACAGTGCCAGACTCCCAAACAACAACTGTAGACCCTCAGCCAACTTCGGAATGCAGTATGTATTCATCCTTTCTGTATTTAGGACAGAGATTGTTATAACTTCCTTTGTGAAATGTTAATAGTAAACCTAGTGTTTGCTCTGATAACAATGGAAAACATCCCTAGGTGGACTATAATAAGGAAATAATAGTCATATATACATGCCAGAGTTAAGAGTTTCACAATCTACAGTATAACATAGAAACGTCTGACCCATAGCTAGGGTTTGTTAGTTTGAGGGACAGACAATTTTTGAAGCGTCCAGTAACCCTTTCTCAAGCTGACTTATCTTCTGTGAAACTTGTTTTGTGGGTTTCTTTTTATAAAGACAATTGTTTATACATCCACAGCTGGATGTGGACAAGTGAACCGTGCCAACCGCATTGTTGGTGGAGTAGAGACAGAGGTGAACGAATATCCCTGGATGGTGTCTCTTGTCAACGGCAATGGATACTATCACTTCTGTGGCGGTTCTATCATCTCCAGTCAATGGGTCGTCACTGCAGCTCACTGTGCAGCTATGTAAGCAGCCATTAATGAACAAATGAACAGTCTTCTTAACTGTCACATATGAACCATTTAAAAATGCCCTCTTATTTTTACAGCATGAGCACCTCGGATTATGTGTTGGTGGGAGACCACAATCTGTACTCATCAAGTGATGCCAATTCTCAGTGGATGCAAATTGCTGAAGTAAGTGAAATGTCCTCACTTCATCATGGAACAAAACCATCAGCGGATTTTGTGTTTTGTGGATTGATTTGTAAATATTTTTCTAGACCTATATGTATACAAACGAAAACAAATACCAAACAAGTGAAATAGATTATTATAATACGCATCCTTTCCAACAGATTGTGAGTCATCCGTCCTATGATTCAAATACACTGGACAACGACATTGCCCTCATCAGACTTACCACAGAAATACAGTTCCCATCTGACAACAAAATCGCCCCTGTGTGCCTTCCAACAGCTGGTGAAATGTATGATAATGTGGATGCCACAATCACCGGATGGGGAGCTCAACAGGAGGGTGGGTACTGATATTCGCGGTATATTCTTTATTTTCGCTTATCATCATAGAACAACAAACAAGAATCCACCTGCACTGACTCATACAATATATTTAACAGGAGGATCCACATCCGGTACCTTGTTCGAAGTAACAGTGCCCACCATGACTAACACCGAATGCAATAACAAATATGGAGGAAGCATTACTGACAACATGATCTGCGCAGGCATTCCTGAGGGAGGCAAGGACTCCTGTCAGGTATGTTTATTCTATAAAATATAAGTACTACTTGTTTTATCTGCATGCATAGCATTCCTTTCGATATATTCTACACAATATATCTGAATGTTACAGGGAGACTCTGGAGGACCAATGGTGGTGGAAGAAAACGGCAAGTGGAAACTGGTGGGAGTTGTATCGTGGGGATATGGCTGTGCTCGGCCTGATAGGCCCGGAGTCTATGCCAGAGTTACACGTGAGTAAATTGCGGTTAGCTATTGAAGCCATGCAGTTCATTAAAAACTCTCATGAAATATGTATCTAGGTATATCAAGGCTCCTACATGTGAAAGATACCCAACTGAAGCTTTTCAGTTTTTTCCTGGAAGGGATCTTGTAGCGTGTTGGCTGTTTATGACTGACATATTGCGATGCCATCAATGTTGTTTCTCTTATGTCATGAGTGACAGTTCTGTGATACCACAGAAGCAATAAGTCAATCATAGTTAATTATAAAAAAAACAGTGTATAGGGACAAACTGTTCCTTCAAATTTAAACAAAGTCTGTTCTTGGTCAAGGGCCAGTTAAGCAGAAATTGAATCACTTTGTTAAAAGATTTTTGATAAATGTCTAAGGTTGTAGTCATAAACACATGAATGAAAGCCTTACAGACAATAACTTTAATTTTTCTATAATTAGTCTGTACACCACATATGAAAAGAAAGTGAGAATTTGTGTTCTTGCTTGGAATAGGTTGATATATTTTTCGTCATTCCTTGCATGTATGATCAAATAATCATTTTTTTTTCGTCAGAATATTTGCAATGGATTTCTGACTCTACAACCGGTGTCTGTGTTGATGGAAACACACCTGCTCCTACTAATGCCCCGACGCCCGCTCCTACTCCTGCACCCACGCCTGCCCCTACATCTACTCCCAGTTCTGACTGCCGTACGTAAAGATAAAAAAATCTGTATTAATCTACAAAGTACCATACTAATATCTATCTATCTAAGTACCATAACACTAGGAAATCAAATATTATATCATCATGAAGGCATTCCTTACAGATACAAACGACATATCAGTCTTCAGCATTGATGAACTAGCAGAAAACCCATTAGACACTAAGGGAGTTTGATGGACAGACAATTTTTCTATTATTTTCAAGCTGTCTTATCTTCTGTGAAACTGGTTTTGTGTTTCTTTTTATAAAAACAATCACTTGTACATCCACAGCTGGATGTGGACAAGTGAACCGTGCCAACCGCATTGTTGGTGGAGTAGAGACGGAGGTGAACGAATATCCCTGGATGGTTTCTCTTGTCAATGGCAATGGATATTATCACTTCTGTGGCGGTTCTATCATCTCCAGCCAATGGGTCGTCACTGCAGCTCACTGTGCAGCTGTGTAAGTAGCTCTTGGTAATAATAATGATAATAAAACTCTTACAGTCACATGCATGTTTCATTTAATATTATTTTTGCAGCATGAGCACCTCGGATTATGTGTTGGTGGGAGACCACAACCTGTACTCATCAAGTGATGCCAATTCTCAGTGGATGCAGATTGCTGAAGTAAGTGAAATGTCCCCACTTCATCATAGAACAAAATCATTGAATTCATTCCTAAATATTTTATAAACATATATACAAAAGTAAACAAGTACCAAACAAGTGATATAAACAATTAGTGAAAAAAAACATGCATCCTTCCGAACAGATTGTGAGTCATCCGTCCTATGATTCTAATACACTGGACAACGACATTGCCCTCATCAGACTCACCACAGAAATACAGTTCCCATCTGACAACAAAATCGCCCCTGTGTGCCTTCCAACAGCTGGTGAAATGTATGATAATGTAGATGCCACAATCACAGGATGGGGAGCCCAACAGGAGGGTGGGTACTGATATTCGCGATATTTGTATATATTTTGTATTATGTTATAGAAAGAAAGAAAAGAAAAGAAAAGAAAAGAAAAAAACTGCCCGCATTCTCATACAATACATTTAACAGGAGGATCCACATCCGGTACCTTGTTCGAAGTAACAGTGCCCACCATGACTAACACCGAATGCAATAACAAGTATGGAGGAAGCATCACTGACAACATGATCTGCGCAGGCATTCCTGAGGGAGGCAAGGACTCCTGTCAGGTATGTTTATTCTCCCTTTCTATATAAATACTACTTGTTTTGCCTGCATGCATGGCATTCGTTTCGATATATTCTACACAATATATCTGGATGTTACAGGGAGACTCTGGTGGACCAATGGTGGTGGAAGAAAACGGCAAGTGGAAGCTGGTGGGAGTTGTGTCGTGGGGATATGGCTGTGCTCGACCTGATAGGCCCGGAGTTTATGCAAGAGTTACACGTGAGTAAATTGTAGTTTACTAATGAAACAAGTTGTACAGTTCAATAACCCAACTCAACTCAAGCTTTCCATGAAAGAAAACTATATTTTACCTGTGAGCTACACTAGCATGTTACCTGTTTATGACTGACAGTTTGCCCTACCATCGATGTGGTTTCTCTTCCATTATGAACAATAGTCAAAGTCATTTAAAAGACATAGTGTATAGGGATCAATTGTGCCTTCAAATCTAAACAAAGTTTGTGCTTGGTCAAGGGTCAGTTAAGCAAAGATGGAATCACTCTACCCACTGACTACGTATTTATGTACTCTGAATTTGTATGTACATGTACTCAGTCAACAAGGAGTGTATCAGTAGATCCTAGTGATCACTCCTAATTCCCGAATTCCTTAAAACTGCGGGAAAATATGTATTAATATTGATACTGTTATTATTCTTCTTGATAATTATTTTGATATTCTTATTTTGATAATTAAATTGTTATTAAAATCTTGGTAACATTAAAGAGATAGGTAGCAGTAATTGACTCGTTGGTGAATAAGCACTCATAGAGCCATCAGTGTGTAAATACAATAAATGAACTTATATTATAGTGGACATGACATTCATTCTTGCCATCCGTGCTGATTGGAATCTTTAATACATGTCTAGGGCTGTAGTCATTAACACATGGATCTGTATTCGTAAATGAAAGCATTACAATATTTTTTGTCTGTCACCAAATATGAAAAGAATGTGAGAATTTATGTTCTTGCTATTAATATGTTGATTTTCAAAAATTCCTTGTCCGTATGAACAAATAAATATTTTTTTCGTCAGAATATTTGCAATGGATTTCTGACTCTACAACCGGTGTCTGTGTCGATGGGAACACACCTGCTCCAACTAATGCCCCGACGCCTGCTCCTACTCCTGCACCCACGCCTGCCCCTACGTCTGCTCCCAATTCTGACTGCCGTACGTAAAAATAAGAAAATCTGTATTAATCTACAAAGTACCATACTAATATCTATCTATCTATATAAAAACTTAAAGAAATATATCTAAATAAAACATTCCTTACAAACGCAAACGACATATCAGTCTTCAACCTTGATGAACTAAAAAAAACAAAACCAAGAGATACTAAGAAAGTTGATGTCAGACAATTTTTGAAGTGTCAAGTACTCCATTTTCAATAGAGTACTTGGAATACGAAATTGGTTTTGCGGCTTTCTTGTTATAGAGGTAATTATTTGTTCATCCACAGCTGGATGTGGACAAGTGAACCGTGCCAACCGCATTGTTGGTGGAGTAGAGACGGAGGTGAACGAATATCCCTGGATGGTTTCTCTTGTCAACGGAAATGGATACTATCACTTCTGTGGCGGTTCTATCATCTCCAGCCAATGGGTCGTCACTGCAGCTCACTGTGCAGCTGTGTAAGTAGTTATCCATGAGGAATCATTCATCTCTACCTAGAATGCATTTTTTTTTCTAAATTTTCCTTATATTTACAGCATGAGCACCTCGGATTACGTGTTGGTGGGAGACCACAATCTGTATTCATCAAGTGATGCCAATTCTCAGTGGATGCAGATTGCTGAAGTAAGTGGAACGTCCTCACTTCATCACAGAACATTAAATAAGTGACACGATTTGTAAAAGCATATTCTTTAAGATCTATATTTACAAAAAGTCACCAAACAAATGAAATAAATAACTAATACGCATCCATTCGAACAGATTGTGAGTCATCCGTCCTATAATTCCAATACACTGGACAACGACATTGCCCTCATCAGACTCACCACAGAAATACAGTTCCCATCTGACAACAAAATCGCCCCTGTGTGCCTTCCAACTGCTGGTGAAATGTATGATAATGTGGATGCCACAATCACAGGATGGGGAGCTCAACAGGAGGGTGGGTACTGATGTTCTTGATAAGGTTTTTATTAAAATAAATCTTTACGTTTTCTGTTATGATAGAGAAAAATGAAGAATCCACTTGCATTGACTCATATATGCATTCAACAGGAGGTTCCACATCAGGCACCTTGTTCGAAGTTACAGTGCCCACCATGACTAACACCGAATGCAATAACAAGTATGGAGGAAGCATCACTGACAACATGATCTGCGCAGGCATTCCTGAGGGAGGCAAGGACTCCTGTCAGGTATGTTCTCCCTTTCTTTAAGATGTAAATACTAATTATGTTATGTGCATGCATGCCATTCCTTTCGATATATTCTACACAATATATCTGAATGTCACAGGGAGACTCTGGAGGACCAATGGTGGTGGAAGAAAACGGCAAGTGGAAGCTGGTGGGAGTTGTGTCGTGGGGTTATGGCTGTGCTCGACCTGATAGGCCCGGAGTTTATGCAAGAGTTACACGTGAGTAAATTGTAGTTAACTAATGAATCAAGTCGTACAGTTCAATAACCCAACGCAACTCAAGATTTCCATAAAAGAAAACTATATTTTACCTGTGAGCTACACTAGCACGTTACCTGTTTATGACTGACAGTTTGCCATACCATCGATGTCGTTTCTCTTCCATTATGAACAATAGTCCAAATCATAAAAAAAAAGACATAGTGTATAGGGATCAATTGTGCCTTCAAATCTAAACAAAGTTTGTGCTTGGTCAAGGGTCAGTTAAGCAAAGATGGAATCACGCTGTTTACTCACTGACTACGGATTTATGTACTCTGAATTTGGTTACATACAGATGGCTCCACATGTACTCAGTCAACAAGGAGTGTATCAGTAGATCCTAGTGATCACTCTTAATTCCCGAATTCCTTAAAACTGCGGGAAAATATGTATTAATATCGATACTGTTATTATTCTTATTGATATTTTGATAATTAAATTGTTATTAAAATCTTGGTAACATTAAAGACAGTGAAATGATACAAAAGAAACAGTCCAAAAATTAAGGAAAAGGGTAAGTAGGTGAGATAGGTAGCAGTAATTGATTCCTTGGTGAATAAGCACTCATAGAGCCATCAGTGTGTAAATACAATAAATGAACTTATATTATAGTGGACATGACATTCATTTTTGCCATCCGTGCTGATTGGAACCTTTAATACATGTCTAGGGCTATAGTCATTAACACATGCATCTGTATTCATAAACGAAAGCATTACAGTATTTTTTGTCTGTCACCATATATGAAAAGAATGTGAGAATTTATGTTCTTGCTATTAATATGTTCATTTTCCAAAATGCCTTGTCCGTATGAACAAATAAATATTTTTTTCGTCAGAATATTTGCAATGGATTTCTGACTCTACAACCGGTGTCTGTGTCGATGGGAACACACCTGCTCCAACTAATGCCCCGACGCCTGCTCCTACTCCTGCACCCACGCCTGCCCCTACGTCTGCTCCCAATTCTGACTGCCGTACGTAAAAATAAAATCTGTATTAATCTACAAAGTACCATACTAATAGATATATATCTATCTATCTACATAAAAAACTTAAAGAAATATATCTAAATAAAACATTCCTTACAAACGCAAACGACATATCAGTCTTCAACCTTGATGAACTAAAAAAAACAAAACCAAGAGATACTAAGAAAGTTGATGTCAGACAATTTTTGAAGTGTCAAGTACTCCATTTTCAATAGAGTACTTGGAATACGAAATTGGTTTTGCAGGCTTTCTTGTTATAGAGGTAATTATTTGTTCATCCACAGCTGGATGTGGACAAGTGAACCGTGCCAACCGCATTGTTGGTGGAGTAGAGACGGAGGTGAACGAATATCCCTGGATGGTTTCTCTTGTCAACGGAAATGGATACTATCACTTCTGTGGCGGTTCTATCATCTCCAGCCAATGGGTCGTCACTGCAGCTCACTGTGCAGCTGTGTAAGTAGTTATCCATGAGGAATCATTCATCTCTACCTAGAATGCATTTTTTTTTCTAAATTTTCCTCTTATATTTACAGCATGAGCACCTCGGATTACGTGTTGGTGGGAGACCACAATCTGTATTCATCAAGTGATGCCAATTCTCAGTGGATGCAGATTGCTGAAGTAAGTGGAACGTCCTCACTTCATCACAGAACATTAAATAAGTGACACGATTTGTAAAAGCATATTCTTTTAGATCTATATTTACAAAAAGTCACCAAACAAATGAAATAAATATCTAATACGCATCCCTTCGAACAGATTGTGAGTCATCCGTCCTATAATTCTAATACACTGGACAACGACATTGCCCTCATCAGACTCACCACAGAAATACAGTTCCCATCTGACAACAAAATCGCCCCTGTGTGCCTTCCAACTGCTGGTGAAATGTATGATAATGTGGATGCCACAATCACAGGATGGGGAGCTCAACAGGAGGGTGGGTATTGATGTTCTTGATAAGATTTTTATTAAAATAAATCTTTACGTTTTCTTTTATGATAGAGAAAAATGAAGAATCCACTTGCATTGACTTATATATGCATTCAACAGGAGGTTCCACATCAGGCACCTTATTCGAAGTTACAGTGCCCACCATGACAAACACCGAATGCAATAACAAGTATGGAGGAAGCATCACTGACAACATGATCTGCGCAGGCATTCCTGAGGGAGGCAAGGACTCCTGTCAGGTATGTTCTCCCTTTCTTTAAGATGTAAATACTAATTATGTTATCTGCATGCATGCCATTCCTTTCGATATATTCTACACAATATATCTGAATGTTACAGGGAGACTCTGGAGGACCAATGGTGGTGGAAGAAAACGGCAAGTGGAAGCTGGTGGGAGTTGTGTCGTGGGGTTATGGCTGTGCTCGACCTGATAGGCCCGGAGTTTATGCAAGAGTTACACGTGAGTAAATTGTAGTTAACTAATAAATCAAGTTGTACAGTTCAATAACCCAACGCAACTCAAGATTTCCATGAAAGAAAACTATATTTTACCTGTGAGCTACACTAGCACGTTACCTGTTTATGACTGACAGTTTGCCATACCATCGATGTCGTTTCTCTTCCATTATGAACAATAGTCAAAATCATAAAAAAGACATAGTGTATAGGGATCAATTGTGCCTTCAAATCTAAACAAAGTTTGTGCTTGGTCAAGGGTCAGTTAAGCAAAGATGGAATCACGCTGTTTACTCACTGACTACGGATTTATGTACTCTGAATTTGGTTACATACAGATGGCTCCACATGTACTCAGTCAACAAGTAGTGTATTAGTAGATCCTAGTGATCACTCCTAATTCCCGAATTCCTTAAAACTGCGGGAAAATATGTATTAATATCGATACTGTTATTATTCTTATTGATATTTTGATAATTAAATTGTTATTAAAATCTTGGTAACATTAAAGACAGTGAAATGATACAAAAGAAACAGTCCAAAAATTAAGGAAAAGAATAAGTAGGTGAGATAGATAGCAGTAATTGATTCCTTGGTGAATAAGCACTCATAGAGCCATCAGTGTGTAAATACAATAAATGAACTTATATTATAGTGGACATGACATTCATTCTTGCCATCCGTGCTGATTGGAATCTTTAATACATGTCTAGGGCTATAGTCATTAACACATGCATCTGTATTCATAAATGAAAGCATTACAGTATTTTTTGTCTGTCACCATATATGAAAAGAATGTGAGAATTTATGTTCTTGCTATTAATATGTTGATATATTTTCCAAAATGCCTTGTCCGTATGAACAAATAAATATTTTTTTCGTCAGAATATTTGCAATGGATTTCTGACTCTACAACCGGTGTTTGTGTCGATGGGAACACACCTGCTCCAACTAATGCCCCGACGCCTGCTCCTACTCCTGCACCCACGCCTGCCCCTACGTCTGCTCCCAATTCTGACTGCCGTACGTAAAAATAAGAAAATCTGTATTAATCTACAAAGTACCATACTAATAGATATATATCTATCTATCTACATAAAAACTTAAAGAAATATATCTAAATAAAACATTCCTTACAAACGCAAACGACATATCAGTCTTCAACCTTGATGAACTAAAAAAAACAAAAAACAAGAGATACTAAGAAAGTTGATGTCAGACAATTTTTGAAGTGTCAAGTACTCCATTTTCAATAGAGTACTTGGAATACGAAATTGGTTTTGCGGCTTTCTTGTTATAGAGGTAATTATTTGTTCATCCACAGCTGGATGTGGACAAGTGAACCGTGCCAACCGCATTGTTGGTGGAGTAGAGACGGAGGTGAACGAATATCCCTGGATGGTTTCTCTTGTCAACGGAAATGGATACTATCACTTCTGTGGCGGTTCTATCATCTCCAGCCAATGGGTCGTCACTGCAGCTCACTGTGCAGCTGTGTAAGTAGTTATCCATGAGGAATCATTCATCTCTACCTAGAATGCATTTTTTTTTCTAAATTTTCCTCTTATATTTACAGCATGAGCACCTCGGATTACGTGTTGGTGGGAGACCACAATCTGTATTCATCAAGTGATGCCAATTCTCAGTGGATGCAGATTGCTGAAGTAAGTGGAACGTCCTCACTTCATCACAGAACATTAAATAAGTGACACGATTTGTAAAAGCATATTCTTTAAGATCTATATTTACAAAAAGTCACCAAACAAATGAAATAAATAACTAATACGCATCCATTCGAACAGATTGTGAGTCATCCGTCCTATAATTCTAATACACTGGACAACGACATTGCCCTCATCAGACTCACCACAGAAATACAGTTCCCATCTGACAACAAAATCGCCCCTGTGTGCCTTCCAACTGCTGGTGAAATGTATGATAATGTGGATGCCACAATCACAGGATGGGGAGCTCAACAGGAGGGTGGGTACTGATGTTCTTGATAAGGTTTTTATTAAAATAAATCTTTACGTTTTCTGTTATGATAGAGAAAAATGAAGAATCCACTTGCATTGACTCATATATGCATTCAACAGGAGGTTCCACATCAGGCACCTTGTTCGAAGTTACAGTAGCCCACCATGACTAACACCGAATGCAATAACAAGTATGGAGGAAGCATCACTGACAACATGATCTGCGCAGGCATTCCTGAGGGAGGCAAGGACTCCTGTCAGGTATGTTCTCCCTTTCTTTAAGATGTAAATACTAATTATGTTATCTGCATGCATGCCATTCCTTTCGATATATTCTACACAATATATCTGAATGTCACAGGGAGACTCTGGAGGACCAATGGTGGTGGAAGAAAACGGCAAGTGGAAGCTGGTGGGAGTTGTGTCGTGGGGTTATGGCTGTGCTCGACCTGATAGGCCTGGAGTCTACGCGAGAGTTACTCGTGAGTAAATTGTGGTTGGCCATTCAATCCATGCAGTTCAATAACTCTCTCATGAGATATCGATGTATTTTACGTCATGAGTAATAGCTGTCTGACTTGTTTTTTCATCAGAATATTTGCAATGGATTTCTGACTCTACAACCGGTGTCTGTGTTGATGGGAACGCACCTGCTCCTACTAATGCCCCGACGCCTGATCCTACTTCTGATTCTGACTGCCGTATGTAAAAATAATGTCTATATTAATCTACAAAATACCATGCTACTAGAAAAAAATCTACAGAGGCATTTGTTGCAAATATGAACATATCAGTCTAGCTTGTTGATGAATTAGCAGAAAATCCACTAGGCACTAAAGTTGACTGATGTAACTTGATGGATCGACAATTTCTGGTGTGCAATATTCCATTTTCAAAATGTCTTATTTTTACGAAAGTGGTTTTGAGTGTTTTATGTTATACAGACAATCACTTGTACATCTACAGCTGGATGTGGACAAGTGAACCGTGCCAACCGCATTGTTGGTGGAGTAGAGACGGAGGTGAACGAATATCCCTGGATGGTTTCTCTTGTCAACGGCAATGGATACTATCACTTCTGTGGCGGCTCTATCATCTCCAGCCAATGGGTCGTCACTGCAGCTCACTGTGCAGCTGTGTAAGTAGCTATTAATAGAGAAAGAAAGAAAGAAAGAAAAAACATTCTACTCTGAAATGTACAAAAAATCTATTATATTTACAGCATGAGCACCTCGGATTATGTATTGGTGGGAGACCACAACTTGTACTCATCAACCGATGCCAATTCTCAGTGGAAGCAAATTGCTGAAGTAAGTGAAATGTTCTCAGTTTATCACAGACATTGTAAAAAAGTGAATCGATTTATAAATATTTTTCTAGACTTATATTTTCAAGAAAAAACAACTATCAAACAAGTGAAATTAACAAATGTAATATACATTCAACAGATTGTGAGTCATCCGTCCTATGATTCTAATACACTGGACAACGACATTGCCCTTATCAGACTCACCACAGAAATACAGTTCCCATCTGACAACAAAATCGCCCCTGTGTGCCTTCCAACAGCTGGTGAAATGTATGATAATGTGGATGCCACAATCACAGGATGGGGAGCTCAACAAGAGGGTTAGTATTGATTTCTGTTCCAAATTTATTTTCAGTATGTAAGTTATGTGAGAGTAGAACAAAAGTAAGGATTGATTTGCATATATACATTCAATGCATTTGACAGGAGGATCCACATCCGGCACCTTGTTCGAAGTAACGGTACCCACCATGACTAACAATGAATGCAATAGCAAGTATGGTGGAAGCATCACTGCCAATATGATCTGCGCAGGCATTTCTGAGGGAGGCAAGGACTCCTGCCAGGTATGTTCATTCTTCATCCTTTCTTTTTAAAGATACAAATTGAACTTGTCTATTTTGATACATGACATTCCTTTCAATATATTTTACACAATATATCTGAATGTTACAGGGAGACTCTGGTGGACCAATGGTGGTGGAAGAAAACGGCAAGTGGAAGCTGGTGGGAGTTGTGTCGTGGGGATATGGCTGTGCTCGACCTGATAGGCCCGGAGTCTACGCCAGAGTTACACGTTAGTGTTCAGCAGTTACTTTTAGAACTGGCAAGCAGTTTTCAATAAGGCGCTAAAAACTTAAATCAATTAGAAATGACGAGGTTCTTTATTTCTGATACTTTGTAATGATTAATCTTTTGTGGCAAGTTGGATATTTTACGGGAAATGCTAACAAACGGTTCTGTTTCCTTCTCTTCAGAATACCTTGATTGGATTTCGACCTCGACCGGAGGTGTCTGTCCGGCGGCTGGTTAATCCGTCCATTGAATAGGCTAATAGAAGCCTAAGCTGGTCCTTAGACGGCTTAGACAAGGAGTTGAGTTGCGGATATACTACCTTTATTACTTTCTTTCACGTTTTCTTTCATTTGGCACATTTAAGAAAAAAAAAACCTTTTTTGAAATAACTAAAATATCCGGAAGTGACAATAAATTGAGTATATTTCGATTTGTTTTAGTGATCGTCCATACCACAAGCACCTATTGCCGTCTTTGGTAGCGTACGAAGTCCGTGATAGGAGTTCTATTTCATACATCCACTGACCCCTTTGCCTTTGGGTCTCAAGAGTGTTCATACCTTATTAAATGTTCTTTTGTTTGGAAACAAAGACAAAACATTTATTTTTAACCATGTACAGTAACCACAACGAGCGTGAAACATAAATCGGCCCGCATTTATTTTTGTATTGTTTTCATAAAACTGTATTAATTTTCATTCACACTATGGAGGGAGCTTCTTACCCTGATAATACCATTACACTCATCTTCCTATTGCAGTAACGACCTTGTTTTTTTCGACATATGTTCATATTTATTTAGCTCAATTAATATTAGAATTCATAATATTCATTGCTATCAAAGCTATATTACATGTTCAGATTTCTGAGACATACACTATTCACAATATACAAGATCACCTGTGTTTGAAAGGAAAAGTTTACAAATATACCAGAACGAAAAAAAAATCATGGTTCATTATTATCTCGATACAGAATGATCTTGAAATATATTCAATACATTACTGTAGGGAAATATAAGCACAACCAGGCTGTACTGTACACTAGAAATGAGGGTAGGCCTCTAGTAACGAATTTCAGTTTGGAAAACCCTGAACGCCTTTCCTAGCTGATATCCAACGCGTTTGTACTTTCCTTGTACTACCAAAGCCGGCTAATGTTAATCAACATTTGCATTCCCCAACGTGTAATGTTGATTAAAGAAGTTATTTTTGCAGAGCACAATATATCAGTGAGCACATTTTTTTTTATTGTAAGTCATCTTTGGTACAGCAAGAAAAGCTCTCTCTTCCATAGCGAGAATGAAAACCAATACAATTTTACGAAAACACCACCATGGTAACAAAAAAAAAAAAAAAAAAAAAAAAAAAAAAAAAAAAAATGCATATATACATATATTGTATACATATATATTCAAAGAGAGAGAGAGAGAGGAAGAGAGAAAGAGGGAGAGAAAGAATGGGAATGTCTCTGGACAAATCTTGAGTGGTCCCTTGTGTTGTTATGCTATTGTTGATACTTAAGCATATTATTTGAAATGAGGTGTTAGTTTTTTCCCCAATTCGTCTTATGCCTGGCAGCGCATTCAACAGCCAACCAGCGTTTATGACGAGCAATAACGTCGTCAGCAAAGGCAGCTGCAAAGTGTGCTTCTTGTGTTTAGATGTCAATGCATGTTATTGTGAAACTGAGGAAACATATTGACATTGTACCCCATGCGAAAGCCATGGAGCCATATAGCAAACTACATTTACTATAGTTATAATGAAATGTTTTTAGTTATAAAAAACATTATTATTACTATTTCTAAAACATACGGTGTATTATGTTGGCGGTTTCATGTCTTCAATGATAAAAGGATAATTATGACTATCGTGAGATATGCACAATACGTTCTATATATTGCCTAACCAGTGGGCTCTCCCCCTGGACCCCCGTGGTGTTATATGCACCTAGCATATAATACCATATAATATCTGCCTCCTCCTTTACCTAGCGAAACACAAAATTTTTCTTTGCTTCTGTCTATGGTCTGAATTACTTAATTTCATTTGAGGTGTTTGATGGGCTTAGATATCAAGCTGTGATCGATACTAACGTCTATTTCTTCTGTATGGCCACAATATTGCTTTAAAATAATCCGGTTTTGACGAACACTTATACGAAGACATTCCTCGCCGGCGTTTGTCACGGATTTTACTCAAGGCCTTGGTTCTAGTCTTGTCTCTTTCCGTCCTTGACCCTGTATATGTGTTTCTTTGTCTCCTCCTATCCTCAATTTTAGGTTGTTTACTTTGTTTCAAAATTATTGATTACTTGTTTCATTATTTTTGGCCAGCTCTCTCAAGGAGCATGAATAGGACAGTGAAGTGTCCCTTCTGTCCACTAGCTTCCACTAGCTACCTGTTTCCCTCCCCTGCTAGGGTCCAGCTCAGCTGATATACCGATTGCCTGACCAAGGGTTGATTTGATATAAGATTGAGAGCATTTCACTTCTACTCATGTGTACAGGTATTCAGCTCATATCATGTAATGATATGAGTTTGGTGAAGAGGAAACGTACATGATGTATATACTGTGCACCATAATTTTCCTAAGGTATTGTGGCTTCGTATGATAACGCTTCTTGTGCTATTAATATATTTAATGTGTTCTGAGCATATTTTATTATCTAAATGAATAATGGTATTACATTTAGATATTATCCTATAACATTGTTATGATAAGTACTTTACCAATTCAAGGAAATGAACAATTGCACAGTCATTTATCTACTCATCTGCCACGCCGGCGTATAGCTTGGGCGTGGAAAAGTATTAAAACATTTGATATGCAGTCATGTGATACATTCCAAATTTAGGATACAACATAATTATATCTTCTAGGACATCAGATGATATGAAGTAGTTACATAGTTCTCCGTACCTCATGCTAGGTGGTCTGAAAGGCTGTAGCACATGGCACTCTGAGATATAATGTACAAGTGTTCGCTTATATTTTTCATTACACAGTTTACACTTAGTTTCTTCGACATTACAAGCTGTACTGACCTGCCAATACATTCTATATCCAAGCCTGATTCTTGCAGTCACAACATCACATTGTCTTGTTCTTGTTTTATATAAACCATGTCAGAGTGCTTTATGCTACAGCTTTCGGGGCGTTGAGAATTAATTAATTCAGTCAAGTCCTCTTTGAAGGAAGCTTTAATGGTGTATAAAATGCTAGAAAGAGGTAACCCAAGATCTATATCTACACTTTGTTTGTCACATGCTGACTTAGCTAGGCGATCAGCATGATCATGCCTAGGGATTCCAACATGCGATGGGATCCACACAAAACGTATATTATGGTCTCGTTCTTTTGCACGATACACGTTTATCCTGATGTCATTTGCAATATTTCCCGCAACTTTGTCTAGAGTGTTCAGAGCCTGGAGAGCACTCCGTGAATCACAGAAAATGACCCGAGCCTTGATTCAATAGAAATTCGGTGGCCATGAGTATTCCTGCCAACTCAGTCTGTGAAGTGCTAGCCCAGTCATGAACCCTCCTACAATCCTGGTGCTGCAAAATGCTGTTTTTATATACAACAAAAGCGCATCCTGCTCTGCTCCCAGATTGCAAGGATCCGTCAGTGTAGCATTCATATGCATTGGGCAGAGTTTCTAGATGCTCACTTATAATTGCAAGTGCATACTGCTTAAGTATAGCAGGGGGGGCAGTTGTATAATATACACTTAGGTCAGACATTTTCCACGGTGGTACTGAACGTCCATGTAGGGTCTTAGTTATGGGTATGTTCAGCCGAGCTAAGTGTTTACATGTTACTTGTACCCATGGATTTGAATATGAATCGGTGTTGTCATTCAAAGTTAGCTCTTCTATTCTGTGTTTTAGTTGTCTTTGGAACTCTGTACAGTGGGGGGGTTCTCTAATAGATTTGACACTGAATGTGGTATTTATGTATAATATTCTTTCATAAAGAGAAGGCAAATTAATTAATCCTTGTTGTTCTAGGGGCACCAAGAATGATCCTCATGGCTTCATTTTGTACACTTTCTAAACTAGTCAACTCTGATTCCTTGAACAATACTAGGTGTAATGCATGGTAATCTATGACCGACCTTATGTATGACAAGTAAAAGAGTCTCGCAATATTGACATTAACACCATAGTCTTTGCCGACAAGTGTTCTGAGTGGCTTCAGCCGCTCCCATAGCCTTTTCTTCAGGTTTCTGATGAATTCTGAATCATTAACAATCACCCCGAGGTATCTGTATTGGTGGCAGAGATCTAGCTCAATGCTACCAATATGAAACCTTGGCAGAGGGATTGTCTTTGGGTTAAGTGCCTTGGTTTTTTTTTCAGTTGAGATTATTAAACCACACTCAGTAGCCCTTGCAGAAAGTATATCAAGAATCTCTTGCATTCTCTCGTCAGATGAGGATTTAATGCAGATGTCATCGGCATAGCAAATAATGGAGTCATTGCCTGCAAATAGTATATCGCCCAGTAATCTATGTATTAGGATATTAAATAGCATGGGACTAAGTACGCCTCCGTGAGGTGTGCCGAGTTCAAATACATTTGTATGAGTGCTCTTAATGCCCCTGAAGAGAACCTGAGACGATCGATTTCATAGATACATTTGAATCCATGTTAACAGTTTTCCCTGAATACCAAAGCTAGCTAGTTGCTCAAGGATAATTTCCTTGTTTGCAATATCAAAGGCAGATTTAAGATCAAAGAATACGGTTTGCATGGCTGGGTTTGAGTTTGTTAAGTACTCTGCAAAACAGTGCTGACTACTACGCCCTGGGAGAAATCCAAACAGTCTGGGGGATAACTTTGCATTTATGCGATACATGAGCCTGCTCAGAATTATTCTCTCAAGTACTTTGCACAGACAGGAGGTCAGGGAATGGGTCTGTATTTGTCAGTATTGGGTTTGGATATAGGAATGATTAAGCTTTTAGTCCAGGAGCTTGGGAGGATTCCTTGTGATAGGCTGAGTCTACACAGGTGTAAAAGTGGGTTGCCTGGCACCTGAGCAATGTGGCGAAGGACGCTGTAAGTAATGCCGTCCTCGCCTGGGGCGGTTGCCTTACCTTTCAGAAGGGGATTGCTCAGTTCCCACTCGGTTATTTCGACAAAGTCGGAGGGGTCAATGGCAGCACAGGCTATTGCTATATTAAAATTTCTATCTATTTTCGACTTGTTGAGCTGATTTATTATCCCTTGTGGAAGTGAGTGTAACTGAGAATTTCCAGCTCACTGCTCTAACAGCATGTTAGCCTGTTTTTGTGGACTGTGGAACTGCGGTGTTGTGGGAGCTTTACCTGTTAGCCTATTAATTTTTCTCCATACATCAGCTACAGAAGCTTGACTATAGATACTTTACTACGAATCTGAATTTTTAATTCTCTGAATTCCTTGTTTTCTTTCAGAAACTGCAGAAGATTGTCTGTCGTCTTATCATCTTTATAACAATTAGCAAGCTCCTGAACCCGTTGATGTTCCTTGGCCAGAATTGGGTCATTGATCCACCTCGGTATCTGGGAGGCCTGGGGCCTCCTTTTCTTTGAGAGTTTTCGTGAACAGACCCATGTGTTATAGTAGTCAGTGACAACTTTGATTAGATCCTGAGAAAATATTTCAACTGTTGTTACTTCATAGGTGTTATACCAGTCATATACCCGTGCCTTGAAGTGATGCTCCAGGCCCGGTGGGATGATTATTCTGAGCCTAGGTGATTTAGGGGCTGAGTCGCTGTCTACAGTATAGTGTGTTCGGATTGCAAAGTGGTCACTAACTAACTCTCGCACCAGTGAAGTACAGATATTACCATGAACTAAATTCTTGCCAAATGCATAGTCTAACCTGCCACCTCCCAAATGAGTCTCTGTTTCTGTGTCATATACTGTTAGTGATCTACTACTGATAAAATGTTTGAATTCTTCCCCATTACTATTACGTTAGTTGTCTCCAAAGTGCGGATGCCTTGCATTGAGGTCGCCTATACACAACGTGCTTTGGTTGCAAAAATTGGGGAGAGAACTAGCCAGAAATTTGGAGTGTCTGGGATATACATTATACAGTGAAAACACCCAGTGGTAGTCTGAATTTTTATTGGATGAAATTGAACATTAGTGTTTTTAACTAATTTATGTGGCAGTGTTACCTTCACATATGTCAACAATCCAGTCATGGCTGTATTCACATATGAATAATATCCCTGAATTGCAGGTGCTATCTTCATCTTAGCAGCAGCAGCAAAAGGTTCTTGCACGCAAATAACATCAGTATTATGTTTACGGATATAAAACTCTAGGTCATTCAGCCTAGGCTTTAT